AAACAATATGAGAACTTCACCTTTTGTTTACAAAATAAATATTGTTCTTTCCAAATAGTTGGATCAATACATAAATCGTATGAGACACTAATGTAAGAATAATTAAATAATAAACTATAAGTTTGATAAAGACCAAAAGAAATAAATATATATAAGCTTTCAAATAATAATACATGGCGGAATAGATAATTATTTTTAGACATGAAATATAAATAATTAAGTTCTGTTAATTGATAATATTTTAAATAAAATAAATAAGGGTAGGATTATCTTATAAAATAAATTATAAATTTACATTGATAAAATTTATATTATATAATTTTTATTACAGTAATCTATTTGAAAATTTTATTTAAGAAAATATAAAATATATATAAATAAATTTTTCAATCATCAAGTATATGTGACATTGAATTGATAAAGTAACGAGTCATCTTTTAAATTAATATATGAATTATTCGTTTAGTAAGAAAAGAACATTTACATAAATTAATTTATCATTCATGAAATATAGTTATTTGGTAGGGATAAAAGTGTATTTGGAAATTTTTTAAACAAAATAAGTGGCATGAATTTTATTTGGTAGGAGTATGAAAGCCAAATTTTAGGCTGATTTTTTGTAAAGTCAAGGTGATATAATTCTTAAATTTTAGCATATTACAATTATAACTTGCCATAAGATTTGAAGAAATATTGGTTAAAAAATTAAAAATCCGTAATTTAATTCTAGAACATAAATTGATAAATTTGAATGACAAGGTAATCGACAATAACTCTACAAAATTGCGAGATTATATATATATAATATATATTCATATATCAAATATATAAGGGAATTTGGTGTGTAGTCCAAATTTGGATTCCAAATTCATAAGTCAAATAAGTCAATTATTCATAAGTCAAATAAGTCAATTATTCATAACTTACTAGTGAACATTAACTTTGACGTAAATAGTCAATTATTCATAGTTTAATAAATTACTCAACCACTTCAATATTTTGATTTTGAATTTTTATACAAAAATAAAACCATCTAACTAATGGAATACTATAAGATTTATAATTATACTTATTATTCACATAGATTTTTGAATATACGATAAAATTTTACTAAAATATTTATTCTATGGAATCACATTGTAATCAAATCGAATTTCTGAATAAAATCTTTAAAAATTACACTTATTTTTAATGAGTATAATGTAATTTATTATCAGTTATGTGCACCGTCCGAGTTGTGTACTAATTTTAAATAGACATGTTTTATGTACTTCTACACAACTTTAAATTTTATATAACATTTTCAATAGATTAATACAGGTAAAATGTAATATTGATTCCATATTTTTAATTTATAAATATTATTTAATAAGCAATTTTAATTTCTAAATATTAAAGAATATCTCTTACCCGTGCATCGCACGGGATTAGTACTAGTTTGCGTTCTGAAACGTAATGTCACAATTTTTATACTATCAAAGTTTTATTTATTATAGAAATTATGTTAAAATTTAAAAATTATTATGTTATAAATTAGAATTTATTATCTTATAAAATTTATTATTATTGTGTTAGAACGTAGAAATTGTTGTTATGTTACAAATTAGAATTGATTATCTTAAAGAATTTGTTATTATTATGTTCAAACTTAGAAATTATTATGTTATAAATTAGAATTGATTATCTTGTAAAATATTTTTTACATTATTTGAAATTTAATTAGTATTAGAAATAAATTTAATTATAAATGATATATTATTTGGTCTACATATAATTTTTAACATCGTAATATTTTGCAGGTGTCATTCGAAGATTTTGGAGGGGAGGATACTGATTACAGTCCTGTTTTCATTATGGATGAAATATTGATAGTGATGCAGAAGCTATTAGATGGGCCAAAGAAATGGCAACTCAATATGGTTTTGAATTGATAATTTCTTCACACAAAAAAGGTGGAAGGATGAAGTTGTTGAGGTGTGAACGAGATGAACATTACAGAGGCAATTTTGAATATTTAGACCGAGCTACCAGAAGTTCCAAGACTAAAGTGTGCAATTGTCCGTTTTGGATAGTAGTCCAACAGGTGACACGATCTACATCTTGGTGGATCGTGTAAGTCCTGGAGTTAGGAGAACCCATAATCATGCATTGATTGTAAATCTTGAGGGTTGTCGACAGATGAGCGGACTTAGCGCTTTATCTAAAGATATTGTACGTTATATGGTTGTTGCTTAGGTCAAACAAAACCAGCAGTAATTTTGGCTGCGATCTAGAAAAAACATCCGGAAGACAATGCTACTCGGCGACATGTGTATATCTATAGAGATCAATAGCAGAGAGATAGCCTCGAGGTAGATATGTGGCTATCTAGATTCTGCACTTGGCTTTGGAAAGTAAATATATAGTTTACACAAGCGTTGATACATCTATTCATGTCGCAGTTACTACTCTCTGACATTAAACTTTGATTTCAACAAAAGAAAAAGAACTTAAAAACACATGTTCAAAGAATTTTGAAGTGTACTGGTCCGATGGACTAAGAACTGCAGCTTTAGTTTTCGGACGAAATTTGAATTTGAAAAGAGGTGAAACATTTTTAGTCCCTGTAATTTCTTATTTCTAAGAATAGTCTCGGTTTACCAATCATTGCAACCAATCTCTTATCTCCTTAAGGCACCAAACCCAACGGTAAAGTTGAATCGCGTTAGTTCACAATGGTCAACAAATACCTCATAATTTTTTTATTTTTGTAAATACACCAAAATTTTTAAAATTTTATTGGATAGTTTAAGAATAAAGAATGAATACACCGCCTAAATACAATAGAAAAAAAAAGTTATGAGGATATGTTCAACCATTTTTTTGAAAAAAAAAATTACGAGTAGAGTTGATCATTAAACCATTTAGACTTACCTGGACGAGGTCAATGGGTGATCAAGGGCCTAGCTTGACGACCTCCATTGCACTTGGGAGGGGCTCTGTTGTAGCAAACTATGTTATTTTACCGAGTATCAAATCGAAGGATTTGTTTCCTGGATCGATCTCTTGAGGAAGGTTAGCCGAATTAGATTGCATGTGTAGTCAATTACAAAAAGAAAAACAAATCATAAGCACTCTAATTCAGAAGATTGGTTTTGTTTCAATTATCAACTAAGAAATCTCAAACAACACAAACTTAAATTCCAACCCAAAAACAAGAATCAAACAATATAAAGAAGCTAGGGAGTCGGGGATAATCGTTTTGGTTCGAAACGCAATTTACGAGCAATTGATCACTCGGTTAAAAGACTCGAATAACCTACACGTTCAGAGATTTATCTTCAATAACTTTTCATAACAAGAGAATATATATGAACGGTAAATTAACGAGTCATCTAACATATAGGCAATACAATTATGGACAAATCTATTTCATATGAGTCTAGATCGATCAACTCCTCCCCTTTCGGTTCTAAGAGTTGATTAAATTAGACTAGAAGGTGGTTAACCGACTGATCTTTATGAATTAACAACACCACACGAGAACGAATTATATTCAATTGAAAACCAATCGTTAATTGAAGTGTCAATCTTCAACAATAATCAACATTCAAGCATGAAAATTGAAAACCCTTTTTAACATCAACTCACATGAATTGAACGACCAACAAGCACGACAATCACATTTGAAGCCAAAACTTTATCCCATGTCCCTAGCAAATCTGATTAACTACTCATATTGAATTCAACGAAAACATTCACAACAACCCAAGCATTCATATTCATGGATTAGATGAAAAGAAAAACTTACAATTGATAGAGAAGTCGAATGTTAAATCCGAAGAACAAGTTTAATTTGAAAAATTAAAGAAGAATTCCAAGATTGAAAAAAAAAATCAAAGTTTATGTTCTGGGGTGGAAATTAAGAAAAAACGAGTTAGGGGTTGTGAAATAGGTCTGGGAACACATCCCAATATATAGGGCTCGAAAAACTGAGCAAAAACAAGAAAAAATATTTCCAGGTCGCGCAGGCCCTAGCGGCGCGTCGCGCCGCTACGGGTCACTTGGGCAAGGCGCACTGGGGTCGTTCTGTGTGCGCTAGGCCATGTCGCGCTGCTAGGCCGTCGCGCATCGCGGCGTTAGCGTGTAGTGGTGCTACGCTGGGCGCTTGGGAACTGGGGTCGTTACGGGCGACGCGCTGTTAGGGTCACTTGGGCAAGGCGCTCTGGGGTCGTTCTGTGTGCGCTAGGCCATGTAGCGCTGCTAGGCCGTCGCGCGTCATGGCGTTAGCGTGTAGCGATGCTATGCTGGGCGCCTGGGAACTGGGGTCGTTACGGGGTCGCGTGTTGGGAAACGCCTTTAGGCCGGTAGCACGTCGAGGCGCTAAGGTCTGGGACGCTGCTGGCGCGCACGGGCATGTTGCGGGAGTGCACGAGAGGCCTGGGCGAGCTGGTGGCTTGCTTGCGCAACTTTGCGTCTCGGGCTCGTTTGAGTTCCGCTTTTTTCTAGTTGTCACCAACGAACCCTTCTACTTAATTATGTTTGCACGACCAACTTTTTCGTGAAATTGTATCCGTCTAAAGCTTCCGACCTGCACACCAAAAACGAAATAGAAAATGGAAAAAATCGATAAAGAAACGAAAAACACAGAAAAACTCAAAATAATGGGAAACACGCAATAAACTACAAAAATAACTAAAAAACAAAGCAACGACCTAAAACGGGAAAAAAGAAAGGCAAAATAGCAACGGAAAATGCAATAAAAATAGGATAAACAGGTGCCCACCTAAGGTTTTTAGTTTCTAGAAGGCTAGGTTCTTGTGTTCAGTGACCTNCTGGTGGGTTGACCACTTCCTGGTCACATTAATTATGCTATTTCTTGATTTTTTTCGTTTTTTTCTTCGCACTTGTTTAGTGGATGTATTCCATCATTTTAGTGGATGTCTCTTTCTTTTACCGATAAAAGTTTCCCACATGATGTTTGCGGCAGACTTTTTTGGTGCTACCAACCCCAACTCAGACTTGCACCCAAATTTAAACAATGCATCCCATCGTGCACAGGGTTTCACACCAGTCATTACAGAAATTTTTTTTTATGTGGACTCAGGTCTTCTTTTCTTGTTGAGTAACTAAATCAAACTCCAAGAATCATTAATCTTTCACGCAATAAGTTTGAAATAAATACACAAAAAAACAAAAAAGAAATCGACCTTATTCTCAACAAGTAAACGTTTTCCATGTAAACACTCTTGATATTGCTTTCAAGTTCGATTAAGGAGTTTGCACAATGGACAAAGTTGTAATCATTGCTTTGAATAAAGAAGAAAGAAAAAGAAAACATACCGAGGTTTGTTTATTCATTACCAGGGTCAGCCAAAGAGACCAAATGCCCTTCAATCTTGTTACCATCTCTTGTTTGAGTTGAGAAAATGGTAAGGCTACTTCTTACTTCAACCTTCCTAATCATGATCACGTGCCTATCATCATCCTCCACAAATTCAATGCCAAGTTCAAACTCAAGAGCTTGCCTTCCCCACACCTGCAATGGATTAAACATACGAAGCCCGTTCTGGATTCCGGGCCCACAAGACCCCGAATGCGGGTCGCCGGGTTTCAACGTCACTTGCCGAGACGACCAAAAGCCCATAATCGAGATCAACGGCGACGAATACATCATCAAGAACATATTCTACAAGAACGAGTCAATCCTTCTAGCCAAGGCCGACGTGTTTGATGACGTGGCAAAGTGCCCGGCCCCACGCCGCAATTTCACGGTCCGCGGGAGCCCGTTTCGCTACGGGCCCGAAACATCGGATCTGTTTTTTTTCTACGACTGCACGGCTCCTTTTGACAGGCAGACGTACGCAGTCGAATGTGCTGGCAATGCCAGTAGTCACTCGTTCGCGGTCTTTCATGTCGAGCTCTTGAAGCATTGGAATTACTCTGTGGAGTTGTGCAGGGCTCCGGTTAACGCTCCTGTGGAGGACGATGATCTCCGGAAGCTTCTGGAAATGAATTACACCACCATTTTGAGAAAGGGGTTTGTTCTGCAGTGGGGACACAGGGACTGCGGCAGTAGCTGTAAGGGTGTTGCTAAATTAAGTGGTGTGCTGTAGTCAGTGTGATTTATGAAAAAAATACTAATGTGTACTTGTATCTAACATTCTTTGCTATACTTGTGTACTGTGGCAGGCAATAGATTAGATCCCCGACTGAAGATTGGTATAGGTACTTGTTACAAGATTGCAAAAATCATTGATTCAGGGATTGCAATTTCGTTCCTTATGTATGCTCAAACACATTTTTGTAACCTTTTTGCAAACATAATAAACGAAATTTAAAAAAACGCAATTCGAAGAGAACGAAAAAGTTAGGTAGTAAAACATACATGACTAAAATTGCAATTTACTCAAACATTTATTTGTATGGCTTCAGGGATTGCAGCTGCTGCATTCAGTTCAATCCTAGTCTCCATAACCCTAGTCGTCTATCACTCGAGGCGCAGAGCCCGATCTTCTATTCCATCATCCCCGAGCATCAAGAAAGACCTGGAAGCTATCGGTGTCCGCATTTTCGACTACCACGAACTCGAGCGCGCCACGGACCACTTCAACCCCAAATCCGAGCTCGGAGACGGCGGCTACGGCGCCGTGTATCGAGGCAAGCTCAAGGACGGCCGTCTCGTGGCCGTCAAACGCCTCTACGAGAACCACAATCGACGAGCCGAGCAGTTTGTGAACGAGGTCCGAATCCTCTCCCGCCTAAAACACACCAACCTCGTAACCCTCTACGGCTGCAGTTCGTGGCTCTCGACCGAGCTCCTCCTCGTGTACGAGTTCGTCCCAAACGGCACTTTAGCCGACCATCTCCACGGGCCCCGCGCAGTCCTAGGGTTTCCCCCGTGGGCCGCGCGGCTGAGGATCGCTGCCCAGACGGCCGCCGCCTTATCCTACCTCCACTCGTCGGGGGTCGTTCACCGAGACGTGAAGAGCAGTAATATTCTCCTCGATGGGAATTTGACGGTCAAAGTTGCGGATTTCGGGCTGTCGAGGCTGGTGCCAGCTGGCGTTAGCCACGTGTCGACGGGCCCACAGGGGACTCCGGGATATGTGGATCCGGAGTATGGGGAGATTTACCGTCTCACGGAGAAGAGCGATGTTTATAGCTTTGGTGTTGTGTTGGTGGAGATTATATCGTCGAGGACTGCTGTGGATATCACGAGGAAAAGGGAGGAGATTAATTTGGCTGCTATGGCTTTGGGGATGATTCAAAGGGGTGTGGTGGGTGAGCTTGTGGACCCGCGCTTGGGGTTCGATTCGGATGGTGGAGTCAGAAACAGTATTACTGCTGTGGCTGAGCTGGCATTTCAGTGCTTGCAGAGCACAAAGGATATGAGGCCAAGCATGGAAAGTATTGTGAATGTGTTGCAGGAAATCCAGATCAAATATTACAGCATGAATGATAGTATTCAGGTTCCCAGAGATGATGATGTTTTCTTTGTATCAGAGTGATTTTTTGGTAAAATCTGTTGGTGTGTGAATGTGTGTGTGTGTGTATATGTCTGAATTTAAATGCATCAGCGCAAGTGGTACGCTTTTTGCTTGATGATTGAGGAGTTTGTTGAACAAACTGTGTTTGCATAATCTGTGAAGAAGGTGGGGTGGATACACTTTTTTGGGAGGAAATATCCTTGCTCTTAATAAGGCTTATGGGTTAAAGCACTGATAAAACATATTGGAGCCATTAGTATAAATTAAAAATAAACATAGATATTTATAATTTCACTAAAATTTGCAGTAAAAATATATAGTGATTATAATGCATACATAGTAAGGTGAAATCTTTCATACCTAAAACAATGTGCTAAAATATTCACATAAAATAGAAGATGATAATATTAACCAATCCAAAGTCTGGTGAATGGGATCATGATCTTCTGTCTCAGAATGAGAAAACATTTTTCAAGAGAAACTGATATTGCTAAAAAGCTCTCCTGTTTGGGTTCAAAGAGTTGAATTTTGCCTATAATTGGACAATGGATCCTGCCCACCATATGCAACAGTTTGAGAACATCGTATTCTTGCACTATGGGACGGATGCAGCTGAGCTTTTCAATGACTGATTGGTTCAACCAAATACCAGTGTCTTGTATTTGTTGAAATATTACTTTCTAATTCACTATACAAATGATTCCGGATCGCACCCAACTCGCGAGATTTATTTGAAACTTAACATGCAAATGCAAACCACACTCGGCAGACGTTGAACACTATACATGCGTGTAGTATGTGTTAAGGGAAATGTAAACCCAGAGCAAGTTAGAAAGAGAGAGAGAAAGCAGAGGCTGCCTATGGCATTGCGTGTGTATAATATTTCCAGAAGCTTTATTACTTAAACATCGGAAAATCATTGTGATAATGAAATAATAGATGAAATGGACTCACACACACACTCACACACAATACCATACATACTTGAATACGCATGATCCTCGGCGCGAACCTCAGCAGTCGATCCAGAGCATTAACAGTAAACTTCCTGGCAAACAAGTAGCAAACTTTCGTGGGCTTCCCATTGTACACGCACTCGCTCCCCGTCCTGAGCCGGTCGAGCATCTCGGGTGAGATGTCGGTTCCAACAAACTTGGTCGGGTGGGGCCCACCGCGGGACCAGTCGACCCACGTCAGCATCCGGTTGGCGTTCGCGCTCCTTGGTGACGAATGTCGGGAGGTAGTGCTCGTCCGAGTAGCACGCGGGCTTGCACCAATCGCGGAAAAGCGACAAGTAGAGAGAGTCCGAGACGACCTCGAGCGCCAGCTCGCGGCTCATCTCGAACCACTGCGAGTCCTTGCGCCATGCGGCGGTCGTAACGGCCTCGGCCAACCGGGCCGTCGAGATCGTACGACTCAACGAAAGAGGTCGCGGAGCCGACGAGATAATCGTAGACGGTTGTGAAGTTGAAGAGAGGCCTCGGACAGCAGGACGAACCTCTGGTTGAACGAGTCGAGGAGAGCGTTTGCCAATAGGCGGCGCTCGGCTTCCACCATATTGAATTCCCCCCACTTCACCTCCTTGCTCAGGAAAACGGAATCTGGCGGGAAAGTTTGTTTGTGGGTGGAATTGAGTAGAGGCCCCGGTGCTGGTGCTGGTGCTGGTGCTGGTTGTGTTTGTAATGTTGGCCCATGAAGAACATCTGCCAGAGAGGGGCCATGGGAAGGTCCCTTTTGGCGAGAAACATGAAGGCCACTTTAAGGATGCGCTTGAAGGGGTACTCGACTACTTTGGGCTTAAAAGAGGCCCTCCATAGAAGCTCCGGGTCAGTCATGTCGTGCATGCACTCGGCTGGAGGGTTCAGGTACTCACTCAGGCCCAGCGGCCCTGACTCACTCTTGATTACCTCTTTTTCCACCACGTGTGGAATTTCTTTGAGGTAGGAGCTGAGGGTGATGCCCATTACAAGGCCCCACCCCAAGAATAATAAGTATATGATGAGATTCTGTGAGCTTACGACTTTTGTGGATTGGATCAACTGCTCCTCCTCCTCAATCGGGTAGTCCTTCTTCATTCTTTTTTTTTTCTTTATACAACTAAATTAATTTGACATTGTTAAAAGGCTACCTGGAGCCTGCTGCTATTCTTCAGGATACACTAATTTCAAGTTTGTAACAGTGGACGAGAAATGGTGATTGAGATTGAAGGAGTTGATGACGAGAATATTACATGCCTGCAAATCATCAATAAATTTATCTATCAAATACATTATATATACATTGGAAGCACATTATAATATTCAAGGTATATGTAACTAATTCCAGGCCTATATATTAATGGAGTGAGCACAAAAATTCAATTGATGCATACGAATCCAAATTATGTTGGTAACATGCATGCATGTATACCAGGTGAATTATCTAATCACTGATTTTGCTTCAAATTTTCCCAAACAATTAATCATCAGGACACACTTTAATTGTTGGAGAAATAAAAATAAAGGAAAAGGAAACACTACCTGAATGCATGAAAGAGAGATAGCTCATGATCAATGTAGCTGCTGATTTTCTTAATTGATAATTAATTTGGTATGACGAATTGTGAATGGATCTGGGGAAGAAGGTAGGTAGGTAGATTAGATTGATCCAAGTGGAAGTATATTTTGGGTGTGGCGGCATGTGGATTTCACTTGTCCAATGCTTTGCTTAGCCACCTTATTTTTAGGAGATGCCTTTGTGCCGTGCTCAATTTTATTATTTTCTTTAACACTAGTGTGTATCACACGTAAATAATATTAAATAATAATTATAAATTAAAAATAAGAGTAAATAATATTAACTAATAATTATAAATTGAAGGTGTGGAGTTAATATATGATATAATTTATCGTATACAGAAAATTTTCGTGTATAAAAGAATTTACTAAAATGTGTATTAACCACGTACGCCTAAAATATTATATAACGTAGGAAAAAGTATCTAAAATTTTATATATCATTATTGAAAGATGTGAAATATGTGTGAAGTCACCTAAAATAAAACCTTATATCATATGTGCAAAAGTACCTGAAATATTCTATTTTATTTTTGAAATATGCGTGAAGTCACCTAATATTTTTAAAAGTATCTAAAATATTATATATGTTCATAATATTACAACCGAAATAACATAAAGAATATCTAGACTATTATATAACGTATATAAGAGTATCTAAAACATTATATATTATTCTTGAAAAATGTGAAATTACTTAATTTTTTCTAAACAATTTTATAAGAAAAATATATCTAAAACACTTAAAGTTAACATCTATATATATACATGTGCAAAAAAATTGCCCAGACAACATGTTTAAAAATTTATTCTTATATATATAGATCATGTATACAAAATTAATTAGAATTTGAAATAAATCTCACGTATAGATAAGAATAGAAAGTAACAAATTCATAAATTTTTAATTTATATAAAAATATTATATTAATTAAACCACCTTAGTGTATACAAAAATAATAAGATTTTGAAATAAATTTCACGTAGATAGGTGGTTTGGGATTAGAAGAAATTCATACAGAAGAAAAGAGAGTAACTCGGTGCGTATTGCCATACGGTGACAGCTGTAGGGATGATGTTCAAAAAGAAAGGGAGTGTATACAAATGAAATAAATCTCATATAGATAAGAATAGAAAGTAACAAATTAAAATTTTTAATTTATATAAAAATATTATATTAACTTTGTATTAAATCGGTTGATTTTGTGTTATCATTTTGTAATCTATCATTTTTGTGATATTGAAACTTTTTTATACATCATTTGTTTATTTTATTTTATACGTGTATCTATCCATTAAAATAGGATACAAATTATCCATAATTATTCGGCGATTTTTTTTTTTTTAAATTTGTTCGGTTTAAGCGTGTATCTGTTTTGAATTCAGATGTGTATTGAAATTGATATTTTTAAACCAAACGTGTGAATTAGAAAAAGTTATCGGATTGCTCTTATCGACTGAAATTTTTTAGGCCATAGTTAAAATCTGTCAGAATCCTAAATGTTAATTTGCTAGTAATACTATACACGCATTTAATGTTGCAAGCGTGATTTGAGGAAACAAAGAAATAATTTGCTAGTAATAGAAAATAATTAATGATAACATAGTTTGACTAAGAATTTGACTTTCTTATTTTTTTTTAAAAAAAAAGTTATTCTTTTTATATAAGTATAGATTGTAATTCTAATATTATACATAGGGTAAGGCTACAATCCCGTTACGGAACCATTCCGTTGGGATTTGTAATCGTTAGATCAACTATCATTGGCGGTTACTTGATGATCTAACGGTTACAAATCCCAACGGAATGGTTCCGTAACAGGATTGTAGTATCTATACTATTTCATTATGTACTTCAACATTCCAACCTACTTTATCTAAGGTAAGTGGACTTAGGGTTGGAAACGAAATTTTTGAAATGTATAAGAAGGTGATTGATATAGCACCCAAAATAGCTCGATGAACCAACTAGAGTAGATAGCTCAGATGCAGTCGGTGCAAAGGAGCTCAGCTTGTTCTAAGTACATAACCTTGTCAAGGAGTAAAGTTAGGTGGCTCAAGGTACAGGTTGGGGAGCTTGAAGGTCGGAGAACTTCAAGAGCTCAATTATATATAGACGTCATAGCATGTTCAAAGGAGCTCAGCTTGTTCTAAGTACATAACCTTGTCAAGGAGTCAAGTTAGGTGGCTCAAGGTAGAGGTTGGGGAGCTTGAAGGTTGGAGAACTTCAAGATCTCGATTATATATAGACGTCATAGCATGAAGGTCGTAAGGTTTGAGGTCGTGGTTACAATCTGGTCGCAGCTTAAGGTAGGTAGGTAGCGAGGTCGTTCTAGCGACCTCTAGGACCTCAGAGTTGTATAGAAAGAAGGAAAAAAATCCTTTTAGGATTACTATCTTGTTAAGGAGTCTCAACTTTCAGAGACGTGGTAAGTTAGAAAAATAGATACTGGTATATCTATTTCCTAGCTAGGAGCAAAAGTTATTATTTTTGGCCGGTCTCCCTTTCCTCCCTATGCTAGGCCCCCGGCGCAGGCCTACCATCGAGCATCGACAGCAACCAAATAATAATAATTTAAACTTAAAATAATAATATAGTGCAATCAGTTTGTAATTCGCTTCTACATGGCATTGGAAAAGTGTCAGTTGTACAGAACACCGGGTTCATTTAATACAGTGAAGAATCAGAATAAACATCTTTGGAATACAACAATGGGCACACAACCCCAACAAAAGACATGATGAATGAGTAGCAAATTAAGAATTGAGCACCCCCACACAACAGATATCATCGCAAATCAATGACATCAAATTTCAGACTAGGATTCATGAATACATCTGTACAATGTCTATATATGGGACTACCATCCAAAGGAGGTTCGTGTGAATGAAACCCACGCCTTGGACATTGCCTAATCACTGTCATTCCACCTGAGGTCAACCGGAATATGCCGTGGGTTCTGAATGCACAAAAAAAATGCAGATTGATATGACTGTTAATTAGGTTTTCAACAAATGAATATATGTAGTCAAAGGCAAGATTCTATGAATCAAAGTTCGACACATAACCTTGAACTGTCTTTTGGTGCCATGACGATAGCGATAGATTCTGGTAACATCATCTGCCCAACACATTTCCTCTTCAGTATGTCTCTCGATTTCAAGTATTGGTATAGTATTTATAGTGCTGACAACTAATGTAGCACACCAGAAACTATGTGTAATAACGAGATGTAAATGTATTCATATTGTATTTAGAGTGTACATAGTACACTAACGGAGCATTAAGAATTTGTGGGTTGTTGGATTACATAATATAAATACATTGTGCCTTAACACTAGGTACTAAACTACTTGTAGATTATGTTACAGTATTGTTTAAACATTGTCATACAAAATTGGTCAGTAGCAAAAGAGGAGTTGCTGAGAATTGAGTTACGAAAGGAAATTGGAAGGGACAAGTGAAACCATGAGATGTATAACATTCTTAATAAAAAGCAAGATGGAAAGTTTTACATGCACCAAAGTTGCAATAAACTGCCGGTGTTTGAAACTGGGTTTGTTTTATGAACACTCATATGTAAATTCTTAAGCAGAGGACAAGGGAAAAAAAATTACTTCCCGCCCATAATGCGTCATATGACAACTCTCAACATGCATGAGTGGGGCCACGATGTGAAACAAAAGCTATATATATATATATATATACATAT